AAATGTCTTAAAGAAATAACACTATATTATTATAATATAATAATATGGTGTTTGGGCTGACCTTAGAACCTGTAAAATCTTCTTTACACAATATTACTTGTAAAGAGAAATATAATTTTAAGCTACTTAATAAATTAATTAATTCTTCTTTATTATTAAAAGACCCTTGGAATAATTATGAAAATGAAAAGGAACAGTTGTTAAAATATATCAAGACAAAAGGAACTGTGAAATACAGAAGAACTAGCTCATTTGGTAGAACTTTTTGCTACCATAGTGCTGGATTACAATCATTAAGAAAAGAAATTAGGCACACTATTGCAAAAGAATTTTACGTTGATATTGATATTGTGAATTGCCACCCAGAAATGCTAAATCAAATATTAAAAAAGAATGGCTTTAACGGTGGTGTTTGTTTAGATAAGTATGTAAAGGATAGAGAATATTATTTAGATGAAGTGATGAACAAATATCAAGTAGATAGAGATACTGCTAAAAGTTTATTCATTCGTGTTCTATACGGCGGTTCTTGGTTATCGTGGGCTAAACAGAACAAGCTTGATACAAACGTCAAATATGAGTTTATTGAGCAACTGCAAAATGAAATGAACGACATTAACCAGACTATAAGTGTAAGCAATCCCAGAATAAGAGAAGTTGTAGATAAACAGAGACCAAATTTTGACGCTACTATTACAGCATTGTATTTACAAGAGATAGAGAACCGTATATTGGAAAAGGTATTTAACTACTGTGTTGATAAAGGCTATGTATTACATAACGCTTGTGTGTTATGTTTTGATGGCTTAATGTTATTAAAGGACAGCTTTCAAGAAGAGTTGTTGCAAGAGTTGAACACACTAATAAAACTGACTTTCGGATTAGACCTTAAATTTATACGAAAAGAAATGGATCACGGCTTCACAGAAGAACAAATTGAAAATAGCCAAGTCAGTAAATTAAGAAGCTATGGAGAAGTGAAAGAAGAATTTGAAAAACACAACTTCAAAGTCAGACAACCATTAACTTATGTTGAAAACAACCCAATCACAAATCAACTTATAAAAAGAGACAAAAACGAGTTCAAAAGCGTTTATGAAAATTTGTTTTTTGAAGAACTTGATAAGTTCGGAGAAGTTAAGAAAATTAGTTTTGTTGAGAAATGGTTAAAAGATGAGAATATGAGAACTTATGAATGTTTTGATTTCAGACCTTGTGAAGAAACACCTGATAATATATTCAACACGTTTAACGGTTTTGATGGAGAGAAAGAAGAATTAGTAAAAGATGATTATGAAAATTCGTTGATGTGGTTTCATTACAAAAATGTTGTTTGCTGTGGTGATGAACAAATAGAAGAATATTTAACAAAATGGATCGCAAATATAATACAGCATCCACTGAAAAAATCAAATACTTCTTTAATCCTAAAAGGTAATCAAGGTTGCGGTAAAGATAGCTTCACAAAATTTATAAATTTACTATTAGGTGATGATTATTATTACAACACTGGAAACCCTGATTTAGTTTTTGGTAAATTTAACGGAAATATTGAGAATAAATGCGTGTGTGTTTTGAATGAAACATCTGGTAAAGATACATTTGAAATTAACGAACATATTAAGGAAGCAATCACAAGAAACAATGCAAATATTCATAACAAGGGGATGAAACCTTACACTGTTAGAGACGCTTGTCATTACATCTTTTTAACAAATAATAAAAATCCATTAAAAATTCCTGCTGATGATCGTCGCTTCTTCTGTATAGATATGTCTAAACAATATTGTAATAACAGTGATTATTTTAGTAATTTACATAATGAACTAGATAGTAAAGAATATATTAACAGTTTATACAACTATTTCAAGAATATTGACGTTTCTAATTATGATTTTATCAAAAACAGACCTGAAAGTGATACATATGAATATATGCGAGAGCTGAATGTTCCAGTTATGGCTAGGTTTTTAGAAGATTATGTGAATTCTTTGAATAACAAGTTTGAAGATGGTGAAGACATGTCAAAACAAGACTTCATTAAACTACGTGCTTTTGAATTTTACAATGAGTTTAACAAATACAAAATTGAATGTAAATATCATTATGAAATGACAAAAACTAAATTTGGATTAGATATTAAACTGTTTGAAGGAATTACAAAGAAAAGTGACCGGATTGGCAACTACTACATTCTAGATATTACAGCAATTAAACAATATTTAACATCAGAATATAAAATTGAATTTTACACTGACGACCTAACCTTTGACGAAACCCAGTCGTAAATCTTCAATACTGTCATAATAAAATATTTTTATTATGATCGTATTTTTACAACCCACCACATATCTTATACCTACAACCCCATCTCACCACACAAATAATTCTCTATACACTCCCTATATTCTATATATTCTATTATATTATATATTATATATTATTATACTTATTTAATATTTATTAGTAGTATATAGTATATATAGAATAGTAGAGAGGAGGATATAGAAGGATTTATAGGGCAGTGTGGTGGGGTTGGAGAGTGTGGGGGGTTTTGTAAAAAGTTTCAGAAAATAAAAAAATATTTTTTGAAAATATTTTTTTTTGAAAAATATTTTTATGGAGGATTTTTCCGTGTAAATCCTGCCCAAACCTCACCACTCACCACACAGGATATTGAATAAAGAGCCAAAAGCCAGTATTTTATTAAATATCTTATCTTAAATGTCTTAAAGGAAAGATTACATATAATATTAATATGGACATTATTAATAAATATTATGATAAGTTAAATAAATTATTACGAAGCAACGGCGAGAATTTCCTGAACAACCATATAAAACAAAATCAACACGATAAATTATTAAATAAATACAATAGTTTGTTAGATGACAATGATAAAGAAATTATTAACAATCATATGAATGAAATTAACGAGGAAGTCAAAAAAATCAATAATGATATTGAGAATTTAAAAGATTTGATTAATGATTTAAAAGATTTTTTAAATATTGAACACGATGACGATAGAATGAAAGCAATATTTCACGGCGATGTAAATGATGAAGATAATGAAAGTGAATATAGTAGCTATGAAGAAACAGAAGTAGATGTAAATGAAAACGATGACGAAGAAGATGACAGTTTAACAATAAATGAAAGAATACAGATGGAATGGCAAATAAAAATGCAAGATATGAAAAGAGCAAAAGAATTACATAATGCCAATAATATTAAGAAAAATGCTAAAAAAAAACTCAGATAATTTCACAAATTCAGAGAAAAATGAAGAAGCTAATGAAGAAAATAATAACGAAATTGAAGAAGGCACGTCACCAGCTAAAAATCCTAGTATAATGACAATGGAAAATTTAATAAAATATTATATTAATGAATTTTATGAAAAAACAACAAGCCGACAAGATAAAATTTTACGCAGTGATCTTACCAAAGAATTTAATGATTATTTGAAAAATAAAAATTATTTGAATAAAAAGGTTTCAACACAGCAAATTAGTAAAATCATTGAAGAAATGGAATTTGAAATTACAAAAACTGAGGGAGTTTATTATTATAGATATATCAAAAAATCAATGTAATAAACAACGGGGCAAAATAATTACAAAATAATTATGTAACTTTTTAACAAATATTTAATGATTTCCCCCGACAGATTTTTCATAATATCTTTAAAAAGTTTCGTGCTTAAAATTTTATGTCATGGGTGGAAATATTATTAGCTAGGGGCAACTCTTTTTACTTATTTTTGAAGGATTTAGGTATACCTAAACCCTAAGCCCAGCAACGGCTGCTTCACGAGATCCAGGCGGGGGCTTTGGCGGAGCTTTTCCACTTTGATATCTTTACTGCTCCTGTAGATTAATATAAAGGCCTTAATAATTAGAATAGGGTTTTGGGGCCCAATATAGTTTTGTTATAATAAGGAACCTAAAGCAACAATATTGGCAAATATCTAGGCTCCTGTAGAGACATGTGGAAAGAAACGGCTAAGCTACAAGTACAATACATCTATCTCTGAGTTGTAAAAGTTACAACAAATGATAACAACTACGTAGCAAGATTAATAATGTGGTAATTGAAATCTTAGAATTACTCCTACTGCTAAAACCTCAAGTGGTAATTAACAGTTTTAATGAACACATCACAATACTTACAAAGAGTGCACAGCAGTTCCAGGTTTGGCATGGCTGGTCTTCAGTATCATTTGTACGGCTACTGGCTTGAAGCTGTTCAACTCTTTCGGCAAAGGGAACCATCAGTGTCACACCGAAGGCCTTAGGGAGTTCGTTGGTTCGAGAACCTGAGGTACCAGCTAAAACATCGCAAGCCGTGAACATGTCCAAACGGTTGAGCCCGCCGTCATCCGGCTTCAGTCAAGACTTCCGGGGCACGACCCCCAAAGTATGTAGAATAATGGTGTTTTATGGGTGTCAGGCCCATGTTTTACTTGGGGGCTCGGGTAAGGCTTACGTTCTTCGCGTTTAGCTGACGGCTTTGAGGTTGAATTGTGGTGTTTGCGCTCAGGTTTGGACTCCAAGCTTTCGGGTTCAAGGTCCAGTTCGGCGTGTAGGTTTTAAGGCTTTTGGGATTTTGCTTTTAGGATTTAGGGGTGTAGGCTTCAGGACTTAACCGCTTTTGGGTTGAAGGTAAGGACCCCTTTCAAGCGACCCCTAAGGATCCCTTTAAAGTGACCCCTAGGGATCCCTTTCAAGCGACCCTTAAAGATCCCTGTAAGGCGACCCCTACAGATCCCTTTAAGGGATCCCTGGCTGTGTAACAATCAACCCAAACCTTCCAAAATCCCTTAATTAAGGAATATACCCTAAATGATAATAAGAGCCTTATAGTATGAATTAAGGGATATTCCTTCATAAAGGAATATACCTTAAATGACAATAAGAGCCTTATAATATGAATTGAGGGATATTCCTGAATTAAGGGATTTTGTGGAAGGTCTGGGAACATCATCTCCGAGGGGCTGCGACGCGCTTCAGGCCCTTTTGCATTGAGCCTTGGCTTAGGGCTTACAGGGTCTACAGGGGAGCCCTCCTTAAAGGAGCCCTTAAAGGAATGCTGTTTAGGGTTTAGGGTTTACGGCTTAGGGTTTAGGGCTTAAGGTTTAGGGTTTAGGGCTTACCCAGAGGCTCCATAGTAGTTCCTTTTTGGGATTACCTTTATAGGATTCTATATGTGAACGCCAAAAAGGAACTACTTTGGAGCCTTAGGGTACAGGGTTTACACGGCTTCTAGGGTTTATAAAATTTAGGGCTCATAGGGTTTAGGGTTTCGGTTTAGTTGAGCCTTGGCATAGGGCTTAAGGATTTTATAGGGATATCCCTACCTTACTGGGCGCTATCCTTTTTTTGCTTATGTGCAGGGTTTACAGGGTTTAGGGTTTTAGGGTTTGGACTTAGGACCTTCTGCATTAGAGGTTTGAGGGTTTCAGGGTTGGGTTAAGGTCCTGTTTTGCGGGTTATGGGGGTTTAAGGTTTCAGTATTAGTGTTGGTTCAGGTTTTGTTGGATTTAAGGTTAAGTTCTACGGCCTAGGGTTTTAGGCTTCGTTGACATTAGTGTGCAGGTTTGGGGGGCTGTTCACGGCTTAGGGTTGCGCTAGTCAGGGCTGGTAGTTTAGGATCTTATGATCTAGGCTGAAGCCAGGTGACCGGACCTCTCCGCCTTGACGACAAAACCGAAGAATTTTCTAAAGAATTCAACATCCCTTCAGGGCCCAAAGCTTCAAAATCTTCAGAGCTTCGGACAACGCGACGTAACCGTAAAACCACGCCCCCCCTGGAACAAAAGCCCTCCCTCAAAAAGCACACCACCAACCAAAATAACACGACACAAGAGACAAACACTACAGCATCACCCAGCACTCGAAAAAAGAACTGACAACACAAATCAACACCAGCGTGCGCCCCTCAGTAACTGTCTTCGAACGGCTTAAACCCTGTAGAGCATCTTCCCTGAACTTCACAAAAGCCTGAAATCATACAGTGTATTCCGGCGGCAGAAACCCCAAACCCGAAAAGCCTTAAATCTTTTAAAGCGTATCCCGATCGACGGCCTAAGCCCTATGAATCCAAAAAGCCTGACAACTAAAAGTTTCTCCCGACGGCCTAAACCCAAAACAACAGAAGCCTGAACTCGGAAAGCGTATTCTGACGGCCCAAACATCCCTAAACACTAGACCCTAAACCCCCAAACCTTCCCAAATCCCTTAATTAAGGAATATACCTGAAATGATAATAAGAGCCCCAATATGAATTAAGGGATATTCCGTCATTAAGGGATTTTGGAAGGTCTGGGCCCTATCCTTCTAACCCCCAAAGTGTCTTCGGACGGGAGGCGGACCGACTGAAGTCCGAAATGTTCCGGATCAAGAGCCTGCCCGTCGCGGAAGATGGAGAACCTGCCAGAGCTTACCGTGAGCTACCCAAAACCCTGGGTTTAGGTTTTTTGGATTTAGGGTTTAGGGTTTAACCCTAAACCCTAAAGAGTTTTTCGGATCAAGTCGCTGTGAAGTCCAAACTGAAGTTTATGATAAGAACCCGCAAAAAAAACGGTAACTTGTGGTAGTTCAGGGTACTATAATACTATAAGTGTTCCTTCATGGGATCTATAGGGGTTAGGGTTAGGATGTACTTCAATAATTAAGGTGGGGCTTGGGGGCTTATGGGGCTCAGGGCTCTTGGCCTGAGGAGGTTGGGATTTTTGTTTTTGAGGGTTTAGGGTTTAGGAGGTTGGGATTTAGATCGCAGGGCTTCTCTTTTTTTGTTCAGGGCCTTTTCTGTTGATACTTTTTTTCGTCTGCAGAGTCACCGGGGTTAAGGGTTTAGGTCAGTGCATATCTACCTTCTGCGATTGATCTTAGTATGATGGTAGTGCCTGTGACTATGACTCATCTTCTTCCTCTTCTTGTTGTGAGTAGTTTGTGATCCTGATAGTGCTCACTTTGTCTTGGTCGGTGTTGGTTTCGACTTTTTGGTTGGAAGGGGCGGAGGTCAAGGCTTATAACACGCTCAACCATGCTTTCATTCGATTCATCTGTCTGTTGGCTCAGAAAAGCTTCGGGTGTCGGTGGGTCAGGTGGGTAGGTTAGTGCCTGTACTCGCATTGTTTGTGTGTTTTGTTTCTTTAGGTATGAGGCTTTGGCCAGCTGGTCTTTTCGCTTATATAATATACGGGCCTTGAGAATTACCTATACTCCTTTGGGGGTTCCTTATCCTAAATATGATAGTATAATGGGCCCCAAAACCCTATTCTAATTATTAAGGCCCCTATATTATAGAACCCCGCTATAGATCCCTCTCGACTGGGAGCATGCTTGGAGTGTCGGGGGACTTAGTAAGTAGGTAGTAAGTAGACTTATAAGTACACTAAAAGCGACCCTAATTGGGGTTATGGTATATACTTATAAGTCCCTAAAATAGCCAGTTACTAAGTCCCCCGACCCTCCAAGTGGGCTGCAGCAAGACACGGGATTGAGGCTAATCGCAGAATCGAAGCCTGGGGGCTTCGAGCTGCCAAATTTTGGGGCCTTCATAGTCAGAACAGGGTTTTGGGGTATATTCTGCTATAACTTAGAAGGGCCCCCACCCTGTAATAGTGGTATAATAGGAATATAATAGGGCCCTAATATAATCCTTATAGTCACTATTACAGGGTGGGGGCAGCATCTGAGCTATAACTATAATCAGGAGCCCCGAGATGGTGCTATTTTTACCCCCTAGTGTACTAAACTGATTAAGAAACCCTGGCCCTATATCCCCAAAACAATAGGATTCATATCAGAAGCCGTAGTAAAGGCCCAAGGTTTCTTAATCAGATTCCTACATCATTATAGCACCCTTATAAATCCCCTATAGTAACGCCCGTAAAGGAACCCTTAGGCCCAAGGTTTCTTAATCAGATTCCTGCATCACTAAAGCACCCTTATAGATCCCTCATAGTAACCCTTCTAGACCCCTTTAAAGGAAGCCTTAGGCCCAAGGTTTCTCAATCAGACTCCTACATCACAAGTATAGCCAGGCTTGGGTCAGCTCTGCCCAACTTGCAAAGCCTGGGCTGCGCAAATACTTACTATTCCAATAAAGTAAAAGCCAGAAAGTTGGAATATGATTATCCTAAACCCTTTATGGTAGATTATAGGGTATCCTACCCTGAAACCATACTCCAACTTTCTGGAGCCCCGTTTAAGCCACAGAAATGAAAGGTTAAACTTTCTGATTCCTTTATAAACTGTAAGAACCCTAAAAGTTTAAAGGTTAGGTATTGGGGATCTAAGAATCTAAGAATATGCGCAACAAGGTTTGGAAAGATTAGGACAGGATTTCGGTGGAGGGAAGGAAGGGGGCGCAGGAGTGGGGTAAACTCCAAAACATGCCAAACCCTAAACCTCCAAACCCTAGACCTGCGTCCGAAGCAATGACCTGAAAGGGAAGCGCTTAAGCACCGAAACTCTACGCAAGAACAAGCGCACAAACAGTCCAACCCTAAACCCTAAACCAGCCCTTGTAAAGCCCTTATAGCATTATAGCACCGGTATGGTAACCCTGTAACATCTAATCAGTAAGGCCACGAACCTTTAGCTAAGATTAAACTCCAAATCAGAGTTCAACAAAGCTGCCTCCCTCGTGTCATCTCGTCTGACCAGAGAGCTGTGTAGCGGATCGTGCAGAAAACCAAAACCTGCAGCGATGGTTTAGGGTTTTGGGTTTGGGGGTTGGGGGAGGGTCTAGGATTTTGGCCAGAAGCAGGGATGATGGTTTACGGCGAAGGTTTCGGGCTTAGGTGCGGATACAGTTCAGGATGGCAGAAGTTAGGAAAATGGATTGAGGGTTGGGGAGGGGCTTCGAAGCTCGACGATTTATATAGGTGTCTGAGTACAAATTAAACGAACTAACTACCGGTCATCATACCTATACCCCTAAACCCTAAATCTTTGTTTCTCCAATTCTGACGAAACCAGAACCAATGCCACGACAGTCAACCCTGGAAAATCCCATAAAGCCCCCTGCAAAATCCCAGCAAAACACAAGGGCCATGCTGCGTTTAGGGTTTAGAGTTGAGGATTTAGGGTTGGCCATGCTGTACAAATTCTAAGACCCTGTTAGTTCAGGCCCCTAGGCTACCCTAGGGATTGAAGTTCTGAACATTCACATACATGTTTTTCAATTGCGAACCTACAAAACTACCACCCGAAACCCAAGCACCAACTGTTAGGTCCTTTGGACCCTTAAAGCCCTAAAACAACCCACATGCAACTCTTCTAGAACCCTCAAAACAGGGGCCTTAATTAACACAGGGTCTAATACACACCATATACTAAAACACACACATCAATTGACCCCCAAGGAATGGCATTACAGTAGATAGGCCCAGTAATTGAGGCAGGGTGCTTTCTGTTCGGTGGTGGGTCTTCTGTTGTTCTCGCTTTGGGCCGAACTGGTGTTGGGGCTGTAGGGTCTTCAAATCGCTGTTCCTATCTCCACAAAAGCGGCATACCATTGCTACTGCTGCTACATGTTGCTCGGCCTCTGAACGGAGGGGTTTTGGTCGTGATGGCCAAGAAGCAAACCCTAACCCTGAAACTCAACATTACATACATGTTTGAGCCATCAATACTAAAACTAGACGACACAGCTCCTGCTAGGAGGCTTTCGAAAACACGAACGGACAGCGATACACAAGTGGGCGAAGAAGTAGGTTTGCAGACACGTAAGGCAGATTACAACCACACACACACACACACTCTCTCTCTCTCTCTCTCTCTCTCTCTCTCTCTGTGGCTGTACCTGTGTAAAGAATATGATGTAGGTAGACAAGCAAAAACACATGTATGTTCATGAAACATAGATACAAAAAATGTATACATAATAAATAAACATATATATATATATATATACATATACAAACACATAAAATATGTACGCATAAAATGTGCAGAAATGGGCACTAAGTTGTTGGATCCCTATACCAAACAAATGCCACTACGTAATAAGCTAACGAGACAAACGCCACAAAACCACTAGCATGAACATCCGTCGATGTTCTAAAGCTGAATCACCTGGATTACCCCATGCGCTCGAGCATATGCCGGGAATGTCCAACAGATCTTCGAGCAAATTGGCACATGGTTGACACTGGTACCAGTTCAAACCGTTTAGGTAATTACGATGTAGGGTCTTTCTCTCTCTCTCTCTCTCTCTCTCTCTCTCTCTCTCTCTCTCCCTCTCTCTCTCTCTCTCTCTCTCTCTCTCTCTCTCTCTTTCACTCTCCCACTCGGTCAAAGCCGGACTAACTCAACTCGAACACCCTAAACTCCTACACCCAAACCCCAAAACCCCGCCCTGCCACTCCTTCTCACCCTTGTTGGTGTAGGAGATCTGATTGAGCCCCGGCACATCCTCGGAGAACTTTGGGCTAGGGCTCTGGGGTTTTATGCCTTTGGGTTGGGACTGGGGTTTAGGGTTTTGAACTTTGGATTTGCAAAGAGTTTAGTTTAAGGGTCTGGCTGTGGGTTTAGGACGAAGTGCTTGACACTCACACTCGGACGAATCCAGGCGAGGTCGAGGGGTTAGGGTGTTAAGATTTCTGCAAGATTAGCATGTCAAGTTTAAGCTCCAGGGCGCAGGTGATTGTCCGAAAACCTGGCCTGGGGGCAAGCCTGCTTCTCTACCGACAACATCCCGAGTATTATCGTTGGTCACTTGTGCGAGTCGATGGGTGCAAGGATGGAATTGTGCATGTGCGCCTCATGGTTGAACCGGTTTAGGGTTTAGGAAGCTTTTTGCCTCCTGCAACAAATCCCTCACACCCTAAACCGGTTCAGTGATGAGGCACCCGTTGCGATCAGGGTTCAGCGCAGGGCTTCCGAGCTGGCTATCGTGTGGAGAAAAGCAATACCAAGTCGGTACTGTAACTGTAGATCCCCCAAGGGTCCAAGCACCTAATAATCACATACTCTCCAAAATCCTAACCTCATAACTACTATCCTACAACCGAGTACCTTATTATTGGGTCCTTTGGGCCCTTGGGGTTCTATGTTCGAAGGCCGTGTTGAATGAGAATTGGGCTATTGTTGGCAGGAAGGCTTTCCCTGTGAGGTAACCGTGCCGCACTTTGCGAAAGCTTAGAAGAGTCGCCAAAGTAGGGCCGCAAAAAGTAGAACAAGATCTTTGGGTATGTGATAGCAGCTGATAGCATATGTATCATAATTACGGGTGCTGCCTCAAACGTCTCAATTCAGAGTCCGTCGTACGTCCTGAAGACAAGTTCGCCCTGGACGCTACAACCCTGCCTCCTAATTCTTAAGCTCAGCATCGCAACTGCAAAGGAGCCGTTGTCAAGTCAACTCTAGGAGCCACAAAGAGAAAAAGTAGTTCTTGGACTAAAGTTGAGGGCATGTTTTTGTGGACCCCCACCCCGCTTCCATAGCTTTCTTTGTTCCACCCCCCTGGGTCCTTCCCTAACACCGGAGTTTGGGGTGAAAGCTTAAGGTGTTCCTTGACTCCAACCGGACTGCGGAAGGTGTCGCTCGGACACTTCTGGCAAAACTCTGCCACTTCAACCGATCCGTGCAGCCACCCCAAGCACCATGAAGCTAACAAGTTTGAACTCACCCGAACTCTAACATCCAGCAATTTCGTCAACTGCAATCAGGGTCTTGGAATAGGAACCCTTCAGTGAGGTATCGTGGAGATACACACCTCTTCGTCCAGTTTTCTGAAAGAGCGGAAGTTCATCTTTTTGGAGCACTTACGGTTCGGGATTTTGGAGTTAGGGTTGAGGGACTCTCCAAAAAAGGTGAACATGGCTTGCTCGACAAGTCAGGCAATATTAGGGACATACTGACCAAACTATAGTGTTTCTTGGGGCTCCTTCATATGGTCATAAGACTTGCCATTTACCGCAAAACAACAGGCCCTCGTAGTAAGCTTTGCTGCCCTGTCGCGTACCATCGGCCCGGCTGCACTGCCATTGCCTCGCAGCTCTCGGCGCTTGCAACCTGCACCACGATGAAGACTCTTGGGCTTGGCTTGGGTCCGGTCCGTATCTTAGAAGTTTTAGGGGCTTGGGGTCTGGAGTTCAAGATGGGGTCCCGTTTCCAGCCCTTTCCACGAGGTGGATCAATGATTAAAGATAATTATCCACAGAACTCGCCCTCCGGCGGTGTAGCAGGGGGTAATGTAGGAACCTGATTAAGAAACCTTGGGCCCTTATATGAATCCTGGTATTTTTGAAGTTATAGGCCCAGGGTTTCTTAATCCGGTTCCTGCACTATTGTGGAGCCTTGTAGAGCCTTATTATAAATCCCTTATAGGAACCCTGGAGTAAAGGCCTGGGGTCTCTTCTACTATAGGTCTTAAAAGGGGTGGCTCTGGCTCAAGGACATCCTAATAGCCACTATAGCCACACTTATCATCGGACAACTAAATCTATCAGATCGATGACGAATCCCCAATTCTGGTTGCTTGTCATAACCCTAGACCGCTCTGCACTCGAAACCACACAGTCCAATGTCTTCACGAACTTGGTGCATCCTACACACCTGCACGTTCTGCAGAAGTACAGCCGCCAGCTGCCGCCGCTCGTTCTGCTGAGAGAGCCTGAAGACGTCTGTTGGGGTTTGTCATTTGCTGCGCTCTTTTTGCACTCAGACCCTTACTCAACCTAAGGCCCGTTCGATGGTCCAAGGGTAAAAGGAGGTCAGGACCCCTAGGTATATACCCTTAATATAGCTAGTTTATACCCATTATATAGCCCGTTCTAGGGTAGGGGTCCCCATTAAGGGTCCCTCCTTTTCCCCTTTGAGATGGGTTTTGGGAACCCGGCCGGTCGTAGGCGGTTCAGGTGTAGGGGCTGCCAGTTGCCCTCAGCCTCAAGCACTAAACCCCAAACCCTAAACCCTAACCCCTTAGAGTCCCCTTATATATATATATATATATATATATATATATCCCTGATAGTAGTACTAACTGCCAAAGCTGCCAGAAAGTTCACGAGGTCAGCTCTTTGCTTGAGTTCATGTGGTAGTCAGAAAACTGTGTTTGTTGAATATTGCACTGTATCTATATTGGTACGACACGTCAGCACTATATGACGACGTATAGTCGGACGTCGATATTAGCCGCCAAAAAGACGGCAAATAGCATGGAGCCTCATGAACCCCTAAATCCTGAACCGTTAACATCAAACCCTAAAGCCCCAAATATAGAAGCGGATTACTATACAATGCTATTCCTCAGGGATCTTTGTGATGTTTCTAAATATACTACAACATGAACCCAAACTCAGAATCTAGCTATTCGTAATCTGAGGCCCCTACATTATAAAGACGGAAGCCCCGAGGAAGGGAGCTCAGGGCTTAGGGTTTTGGGTTTTGGGCTTCGGCTACTGTAGTCTTATGTTGGCCCGAGGAGCTACTGTTCAAGTGCCGTCCTCTAATCAGGGGAAGGTGAATTGCTGTTTGATTCTATGAATCCACGGTCTTTGTCGTCAGTCTTGCTAGCTTATACAAGCATGCTGCTGATTTTCCTACGCCTGTTGCTATGGTGGCTGCTATCGTTCGTTTGGGCGGTGGCCGGTTGTTCTCAGCCTTGCTTGGAGCTGCAAAAAAACGCCGTCGAAAAGCAAGGTGGCAGTGGTGCTTGTGATGAGATGTTTGGTGCTACTGCTGCTGCTGCTGCCGGCGCTGCCTGCATGCTTGTTGCTTCTGCTGTTCGTTAAACACTACACACTTTTTTGGGGAGCAGCTGCCGTGCACATGTCCTCATCTCAGAAACTCTTAGTTCCACAAAGTAAACCCACAGTGGTTTTTCTTTCGCGGGTAATATATAGGAGCTTTATAATATCATACCATAAAATCAGAATCAGAATAAGGAACACCCCCAAATAGAATTGGTAACTATATTTATTAAGCCCGTATAGTATTTGCTGACGGTCGCCCCCTAAAGGCAGCCGGGCTGCTGCACGCTGCCCTTTAGGCGGCCGCAGACCTGGGTGCGTCTCGGATGAAAGGAGCCCTTTTGGCGTCTAGATTTAAGGACTTATTGATTGGGGTTTCTCGGCTTAGGGTATAAAGAGCGCCTGAAGTAGTATGAATTGTAAAACCCAGGCTTATAAGGGAAGGTTTAAACAAAATCGGACCCTTGTGTTCGGGAGTGTTAAATAACGCAGGCCCCTTCAACTCGAGGTTTTACCTACACACAAACCACTGAATGACGTAACGTTCCGCTGTGCAGGCCTGGTAACTAATGGGGAAATCTTGCACCAGATAAAGTAGCTCCTTCATTAAGGAATGTTCACTTACAAAGGGTGTCTTATTACAAGCAGGGAAACGGAATTTCAATATTATTACTGGGAGCCCCGGCAGGGGGGTTAAAGACGCTGGCCGCGAGCACCACGTTGGTGCAAAACAGTTCTTTCCTTTGTGCATAGAGTCATAGAGCTTGCGAGCCTCTTCTTGCTGAGATCCACCGGCATTGTCTTCGAAAATGCAAGCTTGCAAGGCTTGCTAAAGGCGCCTGGTACCATGTACCGTATACCATGTGCTTCTGGCAACCTGGCGCAGGCAAAAAACTTGCTGGCGGCAATCAGTGCCCACATCACTGGGAGAGTGGCGGTTTGCAACTCGCGCTCGGAGTCTCTTGGACTCATGAGGACCTCCTTGAAAGCATTCTTTCGGGCCTTTCTTGCTGCTTCTTGCTGCTACTTCTGATAGCCGGGTTCGGGGGGTTTTCTTCTGATGAGCCTTGCGAGATCGGAAAATTCGGCTAAATTGTGACATGGGCTGCGGTTGCTTTGATGTCAGGGCTTACTGTAGGGGCCTTAATAATTAGAATAGGGCTTTTGTGCCCATGATACTATAATTACAAAAAGGACCCCCAAAAATAGTCCAGGTAATTATTCAGGCCCTTACACTATTGGGGTCTCCACAACCCAAAAACCAAATGCCACGCCCAAACACCCAAGCCTTCACCCGTCGCGGTTTCCGACCTTTCCACACCAGTTTCAAGACATCGCAGTCTTCAGAGTAACCTGATTAAGAAACCTTGGGCCCTTATTAGGGTTCCGTATATGAACCCTACTATTTGGGGGTTGTAGGCCCAGGGTTTCTTAATCAGGTTCCTACATGAAAAGCCCCTAAACCCCTACACCCGAAACTGACGAGCCGACGGAACCACTGCTTCGGCTTGCGTGGCAAGATTCGCCTTTTGAACCCTGAACGCTACCCTTGTTTAGGGTTTAGGGTACAGGGTGCAGGAGTCATGGGGTTTAGGGTTGACGCTGAGCCCTGCAGTCCTAAACCAATAGTACACAAAAGGAACCCTTAATGCTCTTAAACCCCTAAACCCTAACCCTAAGGAACCCTAGGCCCTCCTCAACCCTAAGGAACCCCAGGCCCTCCTGAACCCAAAGCTACCCCAAGCCCTCCTAAACCCTAAAGCCCTCCTGAAATCTGAGGAACCGTAAGCCCTCCCAAACCCTAAGGAACCCTAACCCTAAACCCTGACCCCTAAACCCTAACCTTAAACCCTCCTACCCCTACGCTGTCAAGGCAAGGGGCGGAATACTCACAGTCCAGACCGGCACGCCCCGGGCCTTTGTCTTAGGAGCAGAGTACCCTAGCCCCCCTCCAAAAAAGGGTGACCTTTACAATTATGGTAGGATTATACATGTAATCTCTAATTAAACCCTCAATCCTAAACCCTGCTTAAAGGATCATGGGGCTTAGTAAGTAAGGTTATAAATCAGGTAGCTATACTTATAACCCCAGATAAGGTACTTATAACCTTACTTACTCAGTCCCATGATCCTCCAAGTAAACTCCTCAGCAGCTACATTGTTGCAACATGGGGTCGATACTCGTCTGAGAAAGGGCTTTGGAGTCCTTAAAGTTTAGCTGTTGGGGGCCGTCACGGCTGTTGGATTGGGGCTTCAGGGCTTTGGGGCGTTCTTAGGGTCGTTTCGGACGGCGGGGGTTCAGAGTTTAGAGCGTTTAGGTTTTCAGGGTAGGCTGCAAGGCTCAAGAACATGGTTTCACGATGAGTTTATAAGCAAAACTTGAAATGCCAATCTTGTGAGGCGGCACGAGCCAGACCCCAATATCTAGACAATCTAGTCTGAGCACCTCATTGAATGCTCAGCACAGGTTTGGGGAATAATGTGCCATCGGGCAGTTGAAGATACTCTTACCATCTCTTACCAATGCATCGAAGCCCAAAAATATCTTCACAAGCTCGAAGCCCTTTATCAGAAATCCCAAACTGGAAAAAGCCGCTTCAGAGGGAAACAGCAAGTCGCTGTGTTAGGGGTTTGGAGTGAAGAATAGACCACTACATGTTCGAAAAAAGCAACCAGCATGCATAGCACGTGTAACACAGAAATGTGCGGTCGTGGCAGGAACGGGAAAGCCGCAAATCATGGCATGGCACGTTCTGCTTGTCTTCTCGACAATGTAAGATGTACTTGGAGGCCCTTTTGACTTAGTAAGTCTACTTAGTATCCCCTAGAAACCCCATAATTATAATCCCCATAACCCACCTTACTAACCCTACTTACTAAGTCAACAGGGCCTCCAAGTAAGATGTAACCCGGAAACGTAGCAAAGGACCTTGAACCCAGAACTGCTAAGACTCACTAGGGGGCTTCCGTAAAATCCCTGACGGAAAGCATGCGTGCGAAATCTTCAACCCCTGAACTTGCTTGCGATGAATCTATACTGAACTTAGAACCCTAGCAAAAATCATAATTTTAGCTGTTTCTTAGGGATCATAATAACAAATACTTTCAAATTATTTCAAAGTACCCCTAAGGAATGCCGCCCAGGTCACTGTCGAGCCAAGGCAAACACAGGCCGTCAACTCTTCCCAGATCGTGGGTCCAAGTCCTCCATTACTAGTTACTAGTTCATGGTTGGGATAGGATTAAAATTTTAAATTTTTATTCCTTAGTAAGTTTAAAGTACCCATAAAAATGTAAAATTCTACCCAACTATGACAAAGATTAGGGTTTAACGCCCTGTGTTTCGGGTTTCGGGCTTCTGGTCCTGGGTATTTTGCACACGTCCCGATGCAAACAGAGCGCTCAATACTATGATGTGAGTTTGGCCTGTGGGTTTGCAGATTTTTTGAGCTCCGTTTTATGTCTGCTCGGCTGGCCGTGGGTTTGCAGATTTACAGTTCCGGGTTTGGGCTTTTCGAATTGAGGGGATGCCGGGTTGTTGTTTCGGGATGCCAAAGTAGAAGGGCTATCTTGCAGCATGGGGATCCAAACAGCACTCGCCCTAAGGATGACAATCTATGGCTCCACTTTTCTGGAGGAGTATGACTTGGGTAAATGCTGGCGTGGTGTATGGTAAGTCCTCCTAGCGGTAGACTTTCCAAATGCGGAATTCAGTGTCGCAGCTGTATTTGGTTTAATTGCTTTCTATACAGCCTGAATCCTAAACCCTCAGCCGTATGGGTGGTTCTCTAAGTTAGGATCCCTGTAAGGCTCCTTTTTATAAGGGTGCCATACAAGTTTGGATACTTTAAAAAAAGGGAGCCGCATTTAGAGAACTACCCATGTGGGACCTGCGATCCTACCATGTACCGGTGCTGAGGGTTTAGGGTTCCATATACGCTTGCGATTTAGGCTGGACCATGGAACCGTCAAGACATCGAATAAGATTTGGTGCCAAAGGTAACTCGCTGAATTAAGTCCCTGGTCAAAAGCCAGGATGGCGACCCAACTTGGCTACTTGTCAACAACAATGAAAAGGGCGAGCCAAGGCACGTGTGCACTGGCCCAAGTGTCTGTTCACCGCGCTTCAAGGCCCAGGAGACGCCGTCATGCTGCTCCTCGCAGCATTGCAACTCTTAGTTCTGAAACCGCAAAGAAGGGGCGAAAGGCTTGATGAATGTAGGCTGCTGGTCCTGGAGGCATGTAGCTTGTAGAAGTTCTGCCTGTGGGTTTCACGGTTGTTGGCTGCTGTCTCGACTCGTCAGATCTACAGCAAATGGTCGTAGCGCGTTAGGCATGTGTCTGTAGAAGCGCAATCTCAGGGCTTTCCGGGTCTCGCAACACATCCACGTCAAGGCTGATTTTTATAAGTTGTTCAGCTGAAACTCCCCTGAGCAGAGGGATGGAGTCTAGAGGGATTCGAAATCACACCCTGCCGCGCGAACAGAGCCCTCCAATGTACGGGGAGCAGTCAGCGACGGTATTGAAGGATTTCTTCTGATGCGGTGAGGGTTTCAATCTTTCGCAACATTCTAGACTTCTGCCCTGCTACTACTTTCCGTGAACGGTGCATGTATTTGGTGTAGTAGTGTTCATAGAACTTCCTGCCGCTCAATTTCGTGTCAGCAATGCTTGCATTCAAGGTTTGGAAATGTTCACGGCAACCAAGACTGACGCAATCCTACGCGTACGCAATCCTACGCGTGCAGTATACCTGCGGCTTTAGCATCCTGCTCTTCTCCTCAGCGGTGTTGGTGCATGACCCTGTATGTGCGCACACAATGCCTATAACGCCCAAAGCCGGACGCCTGTATCAATTTGTCGGGGTCCCTATGTAGGGCACATGACTCCACGACAATTGGAGAGATTGAAAATGATCCTGCAACAGTTCTCGTATCGGCAATCATGTTGTGCAGTAGTATCCAATGAATGGCTAACTATTGAAAACCAAATGATGAGTTAGTTGGGAATTTGTTCATTTCGTTACTGTGGCTATTCATTTGCATTATCTAGTTAGTTGTATAGTTCGTCCGTTAGTTTAGTTAGTTAGCTGGCTAGCTGCTAGCTAGCTAGCTCGCTAGTTAGCTAGATGGTTGCACTGCTAGTTTGTTAGTCAATCTGTGTTTTGTTGATTTGCTGGATTGCTTGTTGTTGGCAAATCTCACCATGCCGGCATGCCTGCGTTGAAGTCGGCAGGTTCGCGATCAGCAAGACCTTGTCATCTTTTTCCTGCCAAAGCCGCAGCAAGGTTAGAAGCTGCCCCCACCCTGTAATAGTGACTATAAGGACTATACTGGGGCCCTATTATATTCCTATTATACCACTATTACAGGGTGGGGGCCCCTTCTAAAGTTGCAAACACAAGTTGAACCAACTATCCAACACAACTCGGTCGGTGAGAACCCCAAACCAAGCCCCCGAACCCAAACCATCAACCCGAACAGCTGAAACACAGCGCTCCACTACAACCCCCCCGCCAAGGCCAGGATCCAAAACCCCAAAACCCTGCATCAAATGGGAGTTTCCGCAAATTAGGGGTACTTTATTGTAGGGTCCTTCTAGTAAGGATCCTACTATTTAGGGTACTTTGTAAGGGTCCCCTATTTTCGGAAACCCCCAAATCCTGAAGCAATACCCTTTAATTAAGGAATATATAGCTTAAATAATAATATGAAGCCCTATATAATTTAAGCCATATTCCCTAATTAAGCTCTGGGAAGTTTAGGGTGGAGGGTGTCCTTGGTCTTCAGGCTCACCTGCAGGCCTCGCACAGCCGCGAATCCCTCCTGAAGAGCAGGAGGCAGAAAGGATGCAGGTATCTTATTCTAGAATCAAACGACGGAGCCCCCTAAACTCTAAACCCGAAAGCCTTAAACCCCTAAACCCCCTGGAGCCTACCCATGCTTCGTATCTCCGGAGTTGCAATGCTGAGTTCTATACACTCCAAGACCGTAAACTTGTAAGAGCTCAGCTCAGGTCATATGTGTATATCCATCAGTACTAGATACTGCATATATGTGTATATGTATCTATGTATGTATGTATGTACGAAAATGTCTGTATGTATGTATGTATGTATGTATGTATGATGTATGTATGTGTGTATATACGTGTGTATATGTATATATATATATATATATATATATAAACCTACTTGTCGGGTATCATGGGGAACTAAAGGTTAACCTTTTTAGTTATGTAGGGATTATATAGGGACTATACTACCCGAAAAAGGTTAAAGGTTACCTACTCTACTACTAGGTAAATGTGGGGTCGAAACAAGCTGCCGATGAGAGTTTGGGCGCGGTAAACGTGATCACTTTTGTCGGGTGTAGGGCTTGCAGCCATAACACTCCCGGTGCCTCCCTGTCCTAAACCCTAGACCCCTAAACACTAAACTCCTAAAAGCTGCAGTAAACCCTCACGTCCCCTCCCCTCCCCTCTCTCCCCTCCCCTCCCCCCTCTCCTCCCCTTAAACCCTAAACCTCGCCTTCTCCATGGATGAGAAGTTGGTCTTGTGCTGCATCTCAGTGGGGTTCCTGAGCACACTGACTCTGCCGTGACCAACTCTAAACCTCTGCAGGGTAAGTGTAAGCTTACGCCTAGTTTGGGTAGCCTTTTAGAAAGAAGCATACCCTACCATGCTATGAAGTAGAATGATATAGTATATGCTAACTACTACTACTACTACTACTACTACTACTACTACTACTACTACTACTACTACTACTACTACTACTACTACTACTACTACTACTACTACTACTACTACTACTACATGCTATACATGCTACAAACTAATGGTTTACAAAGGATCTCCTGAAAAGGTTTCTGAAGTTTGCCCAATACAAACGCATAGGGGTTGAGTGATGTAGGGACTTTGACCATATCTAGAAAAAGTTTGCGGTTAGAATGCCATATGACAGGCAGAACTAAAACTATCAGGGAATACTGTGAGTAGTTATTCCGACGTCTGCATTAAGCAAGCTTTTGTTATGACATGATGTCTGTCGGCTCTGCATGGAACTTCCAACTCCTCCATATCGCTTTACAATTGAGTTGTCATGTAACTGCCCGTGAGGCTGATGCCCAGCAACATGCAACATGCACGAAAACACAAAATGTCCTTTGCACAAGTTGTCTTCTACCCCTTCTTCGGCCCTGAACCCCCCAGTACTCTCGGCTTGCCTACTCCCCGCCCCTGCCTGATCTTAAATTTAACCCAAAGAGCGACACGGCCCAGGAAAACCGCCTCTACGAGCACACACGAACCCTGAACCGCGATACCCCAAACCCCGGAGCCCGAAACTTCAAAAGCACCAAAGGTCGCAAGAACCGGAGCCTGTGAGACCTGGGCATAAGCGCTGAAGCCCGGATTCGAAATCATGCCCAAAGAGCCCAACACCCCTTAATTAAGGAATCTGGCTTAAATTATATTAGGGGCTTCATATTCTGATTTAAGCTATATTCCTTCATTAAGGGGTACTGGGCTCTCTGGGTGGCGGACTGAAGAGACCCTCGAGGGTCCGCGTGCTGAAGTACGGCTACTGTAACCGGGCCCTTGTATAGCAAATCGAGTGTCCATGTACATACTATGAGGGCTTCGGTTTAGGAAGTTGAGTTTAGGGTAAACCCTACCTTAACCCGGAATATCCTACCTTTCAAGGACTTATAAAAGGAAATCATAATAAGGAACCCTACCAAGGCAGGTTATTCAGGGTTAAGGAAAACCCTAAAGGTTCCTAGAAAGGCTCCCATACTTAGTCCTTTCCTCTCAACGTTGCGGGAAGGGCCGAAAGTTTTAGGGTTTAGGGCCTCGGGTCCTAATAATCATATACTCTCATAGATATTGAGCTACATAACTACGATCCTAAACTCAAGTTCCGGCTATCGAGCTTACTGTAGGGGCCTTGATCATCAGAATTTCGGTGGTTTTTGGCGATATTATAGGCCAATGTATACAGCAGATCCTTAAGCTAAGCAATATGGGAGTTTCCGAAAAGAGGGGACCCTAATATAGTGCCTTAAAGAGTAGGATCCTTATCATAAGGACCCCAAAATAAGGGAGCCCTAATTTCGGAAACCCCTGCACTGGCCCAAGTGTCGAGGCTTCGCGCATGGACAAGGTGAGATCGGCCCGGGCCGGATCCCGGTGGTAGTAGGAGGGAGGATACTTGCTGACAAAGTCCTGGGCTGATAGGGTGCAGTGGCTTGTCATGGTGTATTTTGGCTTTCATGACAGGATTGAGCTTTGCGGCTCTACCGCTAGGGGTTGGGGTTTGGGGAATTGGAGCTTGAGGTGCAACGATAGAATTCACCGCTCGAAACTGTCGTTTGTCTAGACATGTCCCCTACTTGGAGGATCATCGGGCTTAGTAAGAAAGGTTATAAATAAGGTAACTATACTTATAATAGACCTATAAGTGCTTATAACCCCAATTACGGCACTTAAAACCCTACTTACTAAGTCCCATGATCCTCCAAGTACAGAGCCGGTTCACACAGTACTACTCAGTTCCAGGGTCAGGTGAAGCCTTAAGCCGTTGAAGCCTGATCCTCCAGAAAGCAGCCGGAATCACTGCGGAAATGTCACCATAAGGGTCCATGTACCCAATAAGTATATACTTTATCTCCAAACTACCTAAATAGGGATTACTTTAAGGCCAAAGCATATGGCATATACTGTTCGGGTACATGAACCTTTAGGGCCTTAGGGTCAAGATGACAACCTCACAGCACACCCTGCACGCACCAGACAGCGCAACAACTCTGGTCACAGCTCAGCCATGTTGATCAGTCTTATCAAGGCAGGGCCTGTCACGTGACTTATGTTGGATGCATCACTCTGCTGTTGAGGAGTGTCAGTCACCCGCAACGGGCTGCAGGAGGATGGGGCCTTGGGTTTGACCTTCTCATCCTGTACAAAGACTTCGCAAGCTCAGCCGAAGTGCCCGCGTCATGGCAAAAGATCTATGATACCATGGCAGGTCGCCGTACTTGGAGGATCATGGGACTTAGTAATTGGGTTTACAACAAAGGGAACTATACTTATGAGTACTTATAACTCCAATTAAGGCACTTATAACCTTGCTTATTAAGTCCCATGAACCTTCAAGTAGTCCCCTGGCATGGCCAACTCTTGCGACCCCCAAATAGCTCTGCGATTCCTCCTTCAGGCTTGACGAAGCGAGACAAACCCCCCGGAACTTCCAAAATCCCTTAATTTAAGGAATATACGTTAACCCTAAACCCTAAACCCCTAAACCCTAAACCCCAAACCCCTATAAACCCTAAACCCCTTAACTCATAATAGGAGCCGTAATATGGATTAAAGCATACTCCTCAATTAAGGGATTTTGGAAGGTCTGGGCCTCCTAGATCCGAGGCACTGAACCCAAAGATCCCATTCAATACCCCTTAAGTAAGGATTATACCTTAAATAACAACCCTAAACCCTAAACTCTTAAATAAGGATTAGCCCTTAAATATTAGGGGGCTTCATATTGTTATTTAAGGTATATTCATTAATTAAGGGGTATTGGGTTCTCTGCGAAGCCGAAAAGACAACGCTCCGAATGTGAAACCCACAGAAACACCACACGAAACCCCAATGGACCCCAAAATGTAAACTTCGAGCCCGAGACTGTAGGTCCCAAACCCCTAAACTCCAAACCTGAAGCCCTACTATAGCGTTCTAAATAAAGACCTATACCATTTTGGGGGCTCCTTATCATAATTATAGTAAACCTATCTTGACTATTAAGGCCCCTAGATTACAGAACTCTACTATAAATCCCCTTCTGAAGCCCTTAAAGATCCCTTTAAAGGAACCCTGCTCTAATTATTGAGGCAGCTATTTACGCCCTTCACTCTTGCAAACTTCACCAAGCGGCCGGCTCTGGTGTCTTTGGAAGCTTTCTGGGGAGGCCTTCTGGGGTGTACGCCTCAGAAGCTGCCGTAGCACCTGATTTGTACGCTGCGGTATCGGGTTTAAGGCTTGGGGCGGTCGAAACTAGGGTGCGTTTTTGAAATTCTGACAGTTAGAATGAGTTTTCACGAGTGCCCGAACTGGTGCCCCTTAGTTAACGTCAGTGTATACTTTCCGGACGGTGCCTAAACCCAAGCATGGAACCCTCAACAGTGGATTTATCATGGTTTCGTAGAAAGGGTTTAGGGTTTAGGGTTTTGGGTTTTGGGTTTAGGGAGTTTGAACCCAATACTTACAGGCTTGGCTTGCCTTTACAACCTTCGCAAAGTAACCATGTGGCGCGTGCCCTTTGTGTGTAGAATCTCGTCACAAGGAAGTGTACGATGGTACCACGTGTAATCCGACCTGTAGAATGCAGGGTACGACTTACCACATCTTTGGTTGCGGCTTTAGACCATAGGCTCACACAAAATGCATGTCTGCATCTATGTGTAATTATTGAAATTACTTTAAATTGTAATAGGAGCCCGTAGTAAGATTTGTATATATATATATATATATATATATGTATGTATGTGTGTGTGTATTACAGGCACTGCGCTGCGACAGTTCAGAGCTTGTGTCTCAAAGTCTGGGGCTTGACAGCTTCGTGCTGCTTTAATCTAGGGTAAACACACTGGGCAGAGTTATATGAGGTACGCTTACGTGAGTGGCGTGCGGGGCCCCGAAGAACCGCACCTGGTTTGGAGTTGGGGGTTTATGATTTATGCTTTAAGGTTCAGAGATGTCCAGATGCTGGGGTTTGGGGTTTAGGGACCAGGTGAGGCACGGTAAAACTTTCAGAGAAGTCCTGTCGAATCTTGGCAAGTAGGAAAGGCAACAACAACCAACAAGAATTTATAGAACAAAAACCACACTTCTTGTGCACCCCTTAGAGTTCTGAATTCGAATAAACACTTGTAACACTGTCATGGCTCATATCCTGAAAGCCCGAAGAATACAAACGCAGAGAATATCGCAGTTTCGCAACATAATCGATCCGCCCTAAGCAGCAGGATCCTGAGTATGATATAGAGGCCTTAATGATTAGAACAGTCAAACGGGTATATTACTGAGTATTTCGAGCGATATAGAATGGGCCTGCAAACATCAACAAGCCCTGCTAAAACACAACACGAATCGTAAAAACAAACACCTACTACAAACAAAACAAAACACGACAACAACGCTACCAAAGTAAGACCCCAAAGCCCTGGACCTTTGTCTGTGAGATCCCAGAATACCCATGTACTTAGTACAGGTTGCGGATAGAGTATAGCTATATAGGTGTGCTGTACACGCAGGTAGGTATGTATGCAGGTATGAATGCATGTAGGTAGTTGTCAAAATTATGGTCCCTTTTTGGATCCTTATTATAATACGACACCTATTGTTTAGGGTACTCAAAAAGGGACCTTAACTTTGACAACCACCCATGAAGGTATTATCGTGCCTTGGCTGGTGTCGCCGTGACGACCGGCGGCTCCTGTACCGCCACCCGCCAGGCCGGTGCCCTGGATCTCACCCCACATGTTGCCTCGCTGGATTCGGGGTTTAGGGGTTTACGGGTTTAGGGTTTTAGGGTCTAGGGTTTAGGGTTTAGGGCTTTAGGGGTTGAGGGTTTAGGGTTCCGGATCTAGGGTTTTGGGTTTAGGGGTGGGGGTGTTCAGGGTCACATTAGCCTACAGTACAGAAGGCGCGACAGTTACAGACTCCCAGATGCACATCGGGCTGCTTTGTCCGTTGATGGCATTGGTTCGGCGGAAGTTGATGAGGCAGTTCCTCAGTTCCGAAGTCTGGCTAGCGGCTAGAGCTAGACAGCACAGCACACCGACAACAAAAGGAGGACGACGTCAGCAAAGAGAAGCACAGCAGCAGTATCCAACAACCGCTGACTACTGCCGTAATTTCCAGCACTTCTATTGCTACCCATCCTCCTATCACTGCCTTTGCTGCTTCGGCTACTGCTACTGCTACTAGTACCAGTGCCAGTACCCGTACTAGTGCTACTACCACCACGACGACGACTACTACTAGTGCTTCTGCTACAGCTACAGCTACTCCTACGACCACCACCACCACCACCGCCACCACCACCACCACCACCACCACCACTACTACTACTACTACTACTAATACTACTACTACTGCTACTAATTACAACAACAACTACTACTGCTACTACTACGACTACTTCTACGGCTAGTGCCACTGCCACTGCGTCTGCCAGTCAGCTACTGCTGCTGCTCCGGCTACCACTGTGGCTATTGCTACCGCTACTACTGCCTGGAAAATCCCACGCGAATAATCGTACCTTTGGTTAGTAGGGAATGGAGGAATGGGGTACAATTAGGTACAATTATAACCACTATATATTTCTGCCGTTCTTCCATTCCCTACTACCCTAAGGCTCCAAAGTAGTTCCTTTTTGGGGTTCATATATAGAACCCTATGAGGTACTCCCAAAAGGGAACTACTATGGAGCCTCCGGGTAACCAAAGGTAAGTACTGCGGCTGTAACAGATACTTGGAGGCCCTTTTGACTTAGTAAGTCTACTTAGTATCCCCTAGAAACCCATTATAATCCCCATAACCCACCTTACTAACCCTACTTACTAAGTCAAAAGGGCCTCCAAGTAGAATGTCAGGTAACGCGGCTCCCGCCATGGTTACTTCCCAGACCCCCGGGAGGATCCAAAAAGTAGATCCTTAATGGGGGTTCCCATACAGTACCCTTACGTTAACCTACCAAAACCTACTTTTTTGTAGGGTCCCTATAAATTCCATATTAGGGTTGTTGGAAAGAACCTACCAAAAAGTAGGGTTTGGTAGGTTAAGGTAGTGATATAGGGCCCCATATTTAGGGGATCTACTTTCTAGATCCTGGGTCTGGGTTCATAACCACAAGCTCGGATTACTTCGCTTAAGTTACTTCCAACTCCCCACAACCTACCAGTGAAGGCTGCAGAACACAGAGCAGAATTTTGGAAAGGGGATGCGCGCAGATCCTTCTTCAGGGGGATGAAAAGACACCCTCAAACCCGAACCCCGAAACCGACAAATTCCCTGCATGCAGAAAGAGACTCAGGTTTGCATTGCTCGCCGAGTAGTCTGCGGAACGACTCAGCCCCAGCAATGCTGATGTGGAGGAGAACATCCTCATTGTTCGGCTAAGGTTTTGGTTTAGTGTTTATGGCCTTATGCTATGTGGCAGAGACAGCTTTTATTCGGCTAGAGTTTAGAGATTGTAATAGTTTGTGGAATCTCAGAGACTAGAGGATCTTATTCGATCAAGGATGTCTCAATGAGGTCGCACCCACAGTGAATAAGACACCTTTTTTCCATAGGCTAGGAACTCTTAGCCCTGTTTATGTGGTACCCACAGCTTGTCAGAATCATTGGCCAGTGACCCAAGCTAGTCGACTTTGAATGCTCACTTCGATCCTCATAGGACCTTTACAAAACTATGTATAGAGCCGGTATGAAGCGTTTTAAACCAGGAAAACCTTTGTAGAACCCTCCTCCAAAACCTTCCAAGCCTTTAAGGGAAGCATGCAAGCCTTTATACCCTCAGCTCTTGCCCGATATGCCACGCTACGCCTCCTTGAAGAGCAACTTCACGCCCGAGATGAGAACAAACAACGGGTTAATGTAGGGGCCTTAGTGCCTTAGTAAATAGAAAAAGGCTTACTATGATGATAATAAGAAACCCCGAAATAGTATAGGTAATTATTAAGGCCTCTATATTAGGGTCTTGGGGTTAGGGTTTCGGCGCTCGCACTCGTACAAGCCAGACGCTGTTCAGGAGCTGGGGTAAAAGGGTTTAGGGTCTTCGGTCGAAAGGGTTTACGATTGCGACCGGAGAGGTCTCATGTTCCGGCTTGCGTTTTCGCGACGCGATTTCCCAGACGCCCGGGAGGATCTAGAAAGTAGATCCGCCAATTGGAGGCCCTATACTACTACGGGTACTTTGTAGGAACGCCCATTGAGGGATCTACTTTTTAGATCCTCCCGCGGGTCTGGGTTGGGGATTTGAATTGGGGTGGCCTGCTTCCTGAAGCTGAAACTCTGACGAAGGTAGGCAAGTCTCTGGAACAGTTGGATGCCTGCCGCCGCGGAGTTCTTGCCGGCCACCTTCGGGAGAAATGGGATCCAAGGCACTTGAAGTTTATCACTTAGGTACGGCCCCCGTACGGTAAGAGTCTATAATAGGGCTACTATTAAGGTCCTACTATATCTATATATGAGTATTATTCAACGATTACTGAGTGGGGGCCGTACCCAATTTATCACATAAAACATAGACATACCTTGAGAATCAAATGATCTTAACAAGAGCGGCCATGAATCCATATGGTCAGTGAACCTCAAACCCTTTCAGGCTACATAACCCTAAACCCTACTAGTCCCAAAACCCTAAAACTCCCTAAACCCTAACCCTACTACTCCCTTTTAACCTAAACCCTACTTCTCCCCAAACACCTTGGCGCCAGCATCATCGGAGGCCAAGATGGCGAAGGCCGGCGCCATAGTCCTGGAACGGTTGACGTGTTCAGGGTTCAGTTTGTTGGGTTCGGGGCGAAGAGGAGTGTATGTGTGTGTGTATATATACAGAGCATAACATGACATGACAATAATAAGCAATATTATTATACTATTATCATTCTTATTATCATTTTATATACATACATACATCTTGATTTGTTATTTATATTACTTCTGCCACCGCCAGAAACACACTTGTGTTCTCTGTCTTATGGGTTTCGGTGTGCCAGATTGCTCTTCAAGGCGTGGTCTTCCGGTAGCTGTGAAGTGCGACTCGAACTCAAACGAGCATTTAGGGTTTAGGGTTTAGGGCCCTAAACCCTAAACCGTGTTTACGGAGAAACAACATTTTGCGCACATGCCTCGTTGAAAATCACGAACTCTAGGTCTGCTTGAGGGTGGCTTACATAAGTACCCAGGCTTCCCGGGCCATTGAACCAACAAATATTGCTGCAACTCGTCACCGTCTAGCGTCAGAAGCAGTGCTACCAGAAGATGACACTGTCCCCAAAGGCAGTAGCAGCAGCCTAAATAGCCACAACAGCAGACGGAGTGTTCGTCGTCGTCCACTTGCATTCTCGTCTTCGCGCCCCTCCTCGTCGTCGTAGCAGTAGCAGCAGCAACAGCAGTAGCAACAGCAGCAGCAGTAGCAGCAGCAGTGGCATTTTCTGTAGCAGTACGTAGCAGTAGAGATAGGAGTAGTAGTAGCAGTAGCAGTAGCAGCAGCAGGAGGAGGAGTAGTAGTGGTAGTAGTAGTAGTAGTAGTGGTGGTAGACATAAAAGCAGTAGGCGTAGTGGCAGTACCGTTGCAGTAGCAGCAGCAGCAGCAGTAGCAGTAGCAGAAACAGAAGCAGCAGTAGTAGTAGTCGTCGTCGTGGTGGTGATGGTACTAGTAGCAGCAGCAGAGTGGAAGTAGCAGTCGCCGGGCAGTGGCCCTAGCAGCGGCAGTAGCACCGGCAGCAGCAGTCACAGTAGCTTGTGGATCAGGATTTAAGAGTCGTGCAAAAGGTTTAAAGGACTCCCTCCGGCGCGATGCTGCTTTCTACGGTTGATGTCTCCTGGTAGCATATTCACAAATAAGGGCGGGGTTTTGGATGGCAGGTTTATCGCTTCGGATACCAAGGTTTCAGGCTCCGGCTGGAAGCTGACGAAGATGCGTCTCGCACCGAAACAAGCCAAACTCGCCAACCCGCTGCACCCTTGCACCTGGAAGCGGTAAACCCCAAACCACCACTTCTCATGAAGGTTCGTTCACGCCAGAAAATCGATGATTCGATACTCTGTACATACATACATACTCAGTCTCAACGCAGAATGGAACTCATCCAATTTCACGTGGTATCCTCTACAACATAAACCTGCATCATGTGGTATTAGTTCCCTAAGTGTCCATGTGCCCAGATAGTATATGCTTTGGGTCTAATGTACCCATATAGGGAGTACTTTAAGGCCAATGTAGATACTATTTACCTTAACCTACCAAACCCTACATTTTTGTAGGGTCCCTATAAACTCCATATTAGGGTTCATAATAAGAACCTACAAAAAAGTAGGGTTTGGTAGGCTAAGGTAGGTACATGGACACTTAGGGGTTGGCTTCCGGATGCAACTGAGCCACCTCTACCAAGCTGAGCAGAACCCCTTCGCGTCCCGGAGTTCAGACAGCTGCGGGGAAGATAGTCGGCTACCGACTTGTCGGGTATCATGGGGAACTAAGGGTTAACCTTTTTGGCTATAGGGATTATATAGGGACTATACTGCCCAAACGGGGTTAAAGGTTGCCTACTCTACTGCTAGGGCTTAGAGTTTGGGGGTGTAGAGGTCCAGGCTTCGGGGTCTTGGGGTGTAGAGTCTCGGTCCTATGTAGGCCCGTGCCTACTATAGAGGGATGATACTTAGACTGGGCTTTCGAGATCTCTTCTAGTGGACGTTTGAACCTGGAACTCTTACACTTCAGCCCAACTCGGTCGACCTACGGGAACTCGCCGTGCTGGATGCTATGTCTCCGCAGGGGTTTCGCCGAAGACGAGCGTGAACAATAAACCCTATCAGCCCTAAACCTAATGAAGCCTTAACCCTCAACCCTAAATCCCTAAACAGTAAAAACCTTGCACCCACCAGGTCCCCTGCACCTCCACCCTACAAGCATACTGGAAGCATCAACTAACTCCTTCGGGGTCGAACTTACTGTGTCCGGGTTGAAGGTGTAGTATGAACCCTAAGGGTCCAAAGGACCCAATAATTAGGTACTTGGGTTTCGGATAGTAGTTATGTAGCTCAATATTTAAGAGAGTATATGATTATCATACTTGGACCCTTAGGGGAACATGCATGCCCGGCTTGGCTTGGCTAGGGGTCAGAGTCTGGTCAGCGCGGCCCCGTGTTGGAGCTGTAAGGGCGTAAAACGGAAAAAAGCTTCAGGGCGTACAGTAGAAGCCAGAAAGTTGGAATATCATTATCGTAACCCCTTTAAAGTAAATTATAGGGGATCCTACCATTAATCCATATTCCAACTTTCTGGAGTTCCCTTTAGTGATGCAGCGAGAGGGTATGGGCCCTCAGCCCAAACGGATATAATGGCATCCAAAGGATGCTCAGAGCGGTGTTCAAAGTTGTGCTTGAAACCCAACTCCCACCCAAGGAAACCCGAATCCTCAGGCACAGCTGAGAAATCCGAGAAGCCCTGCATAAAAAAGACTCCATTAAAGCGAAATGGCCATGGGCACGTGAAGTAGTGAAGGGACATGGAACCTTTCCACAATCGCACTCAAACCAACGCCCCGCACCCCATAATTGCGCCAAGCCCTAAACCCGGAAAAAACCCCTGAACGAATTTTAATCCCACAGCGCCAAGCCCTGCAAATCCGACAGATAAATAAGGTATCTAGACTTTTTACTACTTAGAAAACCCCAAATAAGGTAGTTATAACTTGTTGCCTTACTTTCTAGGTCCTATGATCCTCCAATTAAGAAACGCCCGTTAATCCCACAAAGCCAAGTAAAGGTTACCTACTCAGCTACTAAGAGCCCCTTATAGAACCCTATAGATCCCAAGCTCAAAGGAGCCCCTTAACCCCACAAAGCCAAGCCCTGTACCCAGAGGCTCCATAGTAGTTCCTTTTTGGGATTACCTTATAGGATTCTATATATGAACCCCAAAAAGGAACTACTTTGGAGCCTTACGGTACTTCCCCAAATCATAGATCCCTTAATAAAGGAGCCCCTTTCATCCCACGAAGCCAAGCCCTGTAAATCCGACAGGAGCTTCTGCTGGAAGTCCGTTACAGTATCCTTAAGGGAGGGGGCTCCAAGCGGGGTACATAGCCTAGTGATCCCTAACTCTCCCTAGTACTCCCTAAGGTTCCCCTAAGGATTCCTTGTACCCTCCCCCCTTGAACCACCCTCCCTTAAGGATCCTATAAGTCTGAGGCTGCCAACTCGGCCACGTAGACCGGCACCAGCATGCAGAATCTGCAAAAATAGCGACAATAGTAGTCATAACAATAAGAATGTGAATAAGAACGGTTAATAGTTAATAATAATGGTACTCCTACTACTAATAACAATAACAATTTGAATAAGAAGGTTAATAATAATCATACAGCTACTACTACTACTACTACTACTACTACTACTACTACTACTACTACTACTACTACTACTACTACTACTACACTACTACTACTAATAATAATAATGATAATAACAATAATAATAATAATAAATGTAGTAGAATCTGATCGGCAAGGAGTTCGGGCTTCGAAATCCAAAGCTCGGAATCCCAACTCCTATCTCCGAAACCCCTAGTCCGAAACCGTCAAGCCCTTAGGGATCTATTTTCTATTATATGGGTGGTTGTCAAAATTATGGCCCCTTTTTGGGTCCGTAATATATATTACGGCACCTATTATTTAGGGTTCCCAAAAGGGGGACCATAATTTTAACAACCACCCATATGTGTTCCTTGAAAGAGCAAAATCCTTCAGCTTAACCCCATCTATACCCTCAACCGTTGTACGACCTAATTCCCAAAACATTTTGCAACAGGCTTTCCACTTCGCCCGGAGTATTCTAAACCCTAATCTCTAAACCCTCAGCCCCTTTAAACTCTACCAGCTTTTCAGGATTCCAGGTAACGGTCAGGATAGGAATTCTCCTTTTGGGAGTTTCCGAAAATAGGGGACCCTAATATATAGTACCCTGAATAGAAGGATCCTTATTACACGGGCCCCAAACTGAGGTACCCCTAAAATTTCGGAAACTCCCATATGTGTTCTTTGGCATAGTAAACCCTTCGGCTTAAATCCATCTATACCCTCAACCCTTGTACAACAAAATTCTCAAAACATTTTGCAACAGGCTTTCCGCTTCGCCCGGAGTATTCTACACCCTAATCTCTAAACCCTCAGCCCCTTTTAAACTCTACCATCTTTTCAGGATTCCAGGTAACGGTCAAGATAGGAATTCTCCATATGGGAATTTCCGAAAATAGGGGACCTAATATAGCACCCTAAATATCAGGATCCCTATAATAAGGACCCCAAACTAAGGTACCCCTAGTTTTCGGAAACTCCCAAATACGTTTGCACGTGTAAGGTATAGGTAGTGCGGTACAGGGGTTTAGGGTTCAGGGCCCTAAACCCTACAGTAGACCGTGGGTACGGGCCCCACTCAGTAGTAGTTGAATAATATTCAGAATATAGATATACCAGGACCGTAATAGTAGCCCTATTATAGACTCTTACTGTATGGGGGCAGTACCTAAAGTAGACCCCTTTCCGAACCCCCAAACCCTAAACCCCTAAAACCCTAAACCCTAAACCCACCCTAAACCCTGGGTATAGGATTTGGGGCCCCTACTTAAAGGATCATGGGACTTAGTAAGTGGGGTTATCAGGTAACCATACTTATAAGTACTTATAACCCCAATTAAGCTACTTATAACCCTACTTACTAAGTCCCATGATCCTCCAAGTAGAGCCTAA